TAGGTTTACATTCATTGTTATTTGTATATATAATACATTTTATAACTTTAAATGAATTAATGTATTACGTTCCTGGATGATGACTTGTGTAATAGTAAGTAAACCAACAGGGGGCGGTGTTGTTCCATTAATTAAATTTCTTTAACCGTTTTAGACTATACGTGAATTTGCATTTTAGAAATTAGTCCAGTAACTGTGTTGTTGTTGTTATTGTTATTGTTATTGTTTTTAAAAAGTGACATACAGACCGTGGTGAGTTGCCTTAAGATTGGAAATTGTTATTTCAGTTGGCGTCATCAAGCCAAGATACTTCATGACCTGTAAGTGTGTGACTTTAGGCTAATATAGTCAGACTAAACATCTGGCAACAGAATGAAAAGAATTCAGCTTGTCAACTCTCACATCTTAATAATCTCACTTAGGGAGATCTTCCAGAAGAGTATAACATTCCCAATTTACATTAGGAAGTGCTCAAGGTTGAGCTGACTATATTTTCTACCATTGTAGCTATAATTGCCTCTTTCTAATGATATTAAAGTACTATGTGTTAATAGATTTATTTTGTTATATAACATGTTAATATTTACATTTTATCATCACCCTAATTTGAATTCAGTATTTTTATGTCTGCAATTCAAGTAATGTATATTATAAATGCATTCCTATTTCTGTTTCATGGTTAAAAGTCATTTTAGATTCGAACAGTCCATAAATCTCCTGTATCTGTTGAATTGGGTGGAGATCTGGTGGCTGTGATGGTCTTAACATATGATATACATAATTTTCCCACTCATCAAACCATTCAGTAAGGCTTTCTTCTCTGTGGATGGGAAAATTGTTATCCTGGAAAAAAGCACTACCATCAGGATAGAAATGCTTCATCAAAAGATAGGTGATCAAAAGGTTTCAGAAAAAAACCCATTGTATTTCAAATTATAATTTCAGTTTTCTCAGTTTTTTTTTTTTTTTTTTTTTTTTTTTTTTTCATAGCAGAACTCAACTATGTTGACCATGTGTAGTTTTAATGTGAACTGAACCCCTCCTCTGGCTTTTTGGCTGTTTGATTGTGAATAAATTACCTTTTTATGAGTCACCAGTATTTGATTCATCAGTATTTGATTCATCAGTAATAGCTCAGTATCATCTCCAGTGCTGCTTGTTATTCTGCAGAAATTACTGGACTGTATGAGATAATTACTTCAGCAGGATATAATAAGCTCGTTTCTTTGTTAAAAACCTTAAACAAAATTGAGTAAAACACACAAAGCAAGGAGAACATTTCAAGTCAAGCATGAAGCTCTACGAAACAAGATAACTGTTGTCAGAAATGCTTTATATGAGCAAAACAAGCTATGTTAAAGAACATCCTCTTTATTTGTTTGTTTAATGCAAACAAAATATAAAATACAGCTGTATTTTTCCCACCAAGATCAACTAAAACAAGAGTGCCCAACACATTTGCAAACACTAATGACTTTAGTGAAGCTTATTGTAGCCATGATTTGTTTGATTTTCTCTCTACAACCACAATAGGTCATTGCAAAGAATATGACTGAAGTTTAAGCTTGACCCTGAGACTAATGTATTTGTTCAAACGTGTCATGGTTCAAGTCTTTGTTTATGCACATTAGTCTTTTCCATTTGTTGTTGTTTCAGTCTAGTGCACTTCTTTCAGAGCAATGAAGCACTGACTCTAAACTGTGTCCTTTCCACAGAGGCCTACAACACAGTGTTGCCTTTACTCTCTTTTATTGTTATCTCATGACTTGCAAACTGAAATTTCTCTCTACTTAATCTACAGTTTTGTGTGTTGTTTGGGCTTAGTCAGTTCAATAAATTTCAAATGGCTCTCATTATTTGATAATCTGCTCTGAAATTACCATTACAAGTACCCAAGCCTATACATTAGTTAGAAATAAGTTATTCTTGCACTGGTTAATTTAACCTGTCATTGTCTAGACATTGTGAAATTGGGTAGAATTATGCATGTGCAATTATGATGTAAGTGCTAACATCTAAATACATGCTCGTGATTTTAATGGACATTATGACCACGCCTCCACAATAAAACATTTAAGAACTGCCTGTAACAGTGGGATTAATGAAACTAGGGTGCCTGAACAGGAAGCTACATTAGAGGTCATGAAGCAAAAGCAGGCTGCTTAGTAGAATGAAAACAACAAAAAAAAGCTTAGCTAACCTCTGCCTACAGCTTGATCTTATAATAAGACCCTTGGCAAGTGTGAGGCAGCGATTGTCGCTGGGTATTGCATCAAGCCGAACTCCACAATCATATTTGTCAGCAAGAGAGCTACAGAAGAAAACACCTTATGATGGCAGTGCTCAGCCACTGCTCCCAGACAGAAAGAGAAAAGAGACAGGTTTGTTGGCGCTTAAGAGAAGACAATGCTGGAAATACAAACTATGTCTCGAGGACAATACACACCTGACACCACAACAATGTTAAAAACCACAGAAGAAATTTATCTGATCCAGCCACAACCAGCTTTTAGTGCTGCCTGTGGGAAGACAGGAACTGAAATATGAGATTGTATGTGACATTCCCTTCCACAAGAGTACAATGTCTCTTTCTTGATCAAGTGCATTATGGGATATTCCCATGTTGGAACCTAGTGAAAAGTCATAATACTGTGAACAATTTCAAATGACAAATTGCTGCAGAATAGCAAACATGGTGTAGCTATTCAAGAAACTACCCAACCCAGGGTAAACGTAAGCTTATTTATTTTGATTTAACACTTGTGCTGCAGCAGGATAGTAAACAGGGAAATAAAAAAATTAAAATAGAAAATTTGGCAGCTTTTCAGCTCACTCAGCATGCTCTACTTGATTTTGGCTCATGACCACACACTTTTTCAGCTCAGTGCTCAAGAGAGAAAGAGAAAAGAACTCTACCAGCTCATTTATAACATTACAGAAAAGTGTCAGGTGTGTCACGTTAATTAGCTCATCTCAATACAGAACATATCACTGAAGACTTTGGCTGTGAGCCACAAGAAAAGCTTCACTGTGCCTTGTCACAATCTCTGGAAGTCTCTGGAATTGTACTGGAGGGATGAACACCATTCTTCTAAGAAAAATGTACTTTTTTTTGTGATGATGGTAGTACAGAACGTGGATGAGGTGTATGCTTGGGCTTGGCCCCACATGCCCTTATGGATGAGCTCTAAACTCCAGTACAGCTAGAAAATTCTAAATCTTCTAGATTTTTATATTGTAAACAGCCTTTCGAATAAAAGAAACACATACATAAACAACAATCCTTCATCTTCAAATAAAATGGGTATTAAACCACTGAAATGAAAAGGTCTTTATTATTTAGAATGAAATATAAAATGCATTTTTACAGTGAAGATGGAACTTAAAATTATAAACATGCAAAGACAGACTAGCTAAATTTCAAACCATATTAATTTTAATATAGTAAGTGGGATTGGGATTGAGAAGAAATGGACTATGGAAGCTTTTTTGAATTATTCAAATGTGGCTTATATTGTAATTTTTTTTATGTGCTGTCAGCTATTACAAATAAATTAAACTAATCTAAATGCATGAATAAAGGCATCAAGTAAAAGAAGAATGTAACTAGGGGAAAGTGTCTGCCTCAGTGTAATTGCAGTTCCTGTGGTTATTACTCATTTAATGCATAAGCCCAATTATTAAATATGCAAAATAAAGTGGAGCATCTTGGTTTAAAGTGCTCTGAGGCACTTAAGCTCACACATGCATATAAAATGCGTTTGAAGAGTTAAGCAGCTACCAGGGTGATGGGACAGCACAGTGCTAAAAATCGAGTCTTAGTTATTTGTATGTCAATAATGTTGACACAGTAAAATTAGAACAAAGGCATATTGGGTACTAAGACTTTTTGGAGATATCCTAGAAAGTAGATTTAACAGTGCGCTGTTTATCCCATCAAAGTATTTACAGCCATGATTCTCTGTTTAATATATCTGGACACCATAAATGAGAATACAGTGAATCTGGAAAGTATTCACAGCACTTCACTTTTTTCCACATTTTGTTATGTTATAGCTTTATTCCAAAAAGGATTAAATTCTTTATTTGTCTCAAAATTCTACAAACAATACCCTATAATGAGACCGTGAAAGAAGTTTGTTTGAAATCTTTGCAAATTTGTGAATTTTTTTTAAGAATTTTTTTTTAAAGCACGTGGTTTCAAACAAACGTTTTTCATGTTGTCATTATGGGGTATTGTTTGTAGATTTTTGAATAAAATAGTGAATTTAATCCATTTTGGAATAAGGCTATAACATAACAAAATGTGGAAAAAGTGAAACGCTGTGAATAATTTCCGGATGCACTGTAAGTGGATCTCAAATGTGTTGCCTGTCTTTTCAAATATCATAGGTTGTTCATATATTTATAAATATGCAATGATTTATATTGAAATTAAGTCATCACATAGGGGGATGAAGGTTTTACTTAATATTATCTTTAACTTTATCTACAGAAAGGTGTATTAATTATGTATTACTTACATTTTTTTCCTCAGCCCCCAGGGAGAAAACAGGATTAACATTAATAAGCAGTCAATATTCAAAGTTCTGAATACAAAAGAGAGAACATGATGTCTCAGGTAACACTGAAATTGAAATGCATAAACTTTGTTTATACTGTAAACTTCTTTATCCAGTCAACAAATCGTGTCACCCCACAGATATAAGAAATAATCATTAGAGATAACATGATACATTTTTTTTCTTTTCTGATACCGATACTTGATATTGAGTATATGATATTGAGTATATGCCAATACTGATACAGATATTGTTTTCTTTTAAAACTACTAAGCTTTAAAATATATTTTTAACTGAAGCATTTTGCAGTGAAACTCTTTCACACAAAATTGACTAACATTGTAAATTCACGGCATTTATCAGATGCTGTTATCCACTGTGAATTTATTATTCAGCTGAGCAGTTGAGGTTTAAGGGCCTTACTCAGGAATCCAGCAGTGGCAGCACTGGGCTTTGAACTCATGTCTTTCTGATTGGTAGCTCAACATTTTAACCACTGAACTACCACTGCCCCATGATAATGATCAATATAACAAAGTAAAAAAAGAACATAAATATCAACTCTAACAAAAGAAAAAACAGTCAAGTCTATTTATATGTAAATATTTCCAGTTCCAAAAATTAATTTATTTTCCAAATCAAATGATTTGCCTTTTTTTTTTTTACATGATTCGATATCAAACATATACTTTCCATATTCAATCCACCATTTTTATTTTTTATTTTTTTGCTGGTATCTGAATGATACCGATACTGAGTATCAGATTAATCTCCAATAATCATACTTTGGGTTTATTGGACATAAATATGCAGATGAAAGAATTTTTAAGTCTTGTTTTGACCCGCATCAATCATAATATATGCAGTCATGTGAAAAAAAAACAAGTACACACCATGGAAATTGTAGATGTTTGGTTTTTAATTTTTTTTTTTTTTTTTTTAACATATTTGGACAAGCAAATATTTGATCATCTATGAAACAAACCCTATTAATAAAGTTGATATACTTAAACAAAACCACAAGGAAAATTAGCATTCCTTTTAAAGGGAACTCAACGTTGCATTAGCTCCACACTGTGGGAAACGCCCTTGCGAGTGGTTGGTATCTGAAGCTTATGTAGCATCATGACTGCCGTGATCAGATGACATGGTAATTAAGCATTTCACGTGAAATAAAAACAGCACCTGTGAACCACGCAGTCAGCCTTATTATCTTCAGCAAAACTGCATGTCGGTCGTTTGTGTAATGCTTGCAAAAAACATTTCCTCTCTATCTTTTCAAAAAAAAAAGAAAATTAATCTCTTTACTTTTCTGTCCCTTTAAAAAAGAGAGAGCGAAAAGTATGAGTGAGAGATAATTCAGGAAATGTGTTACACCTTGTTCCCGTTTCATCACAGGGACAGACGGACACATTTCTATGTCTAGGGATGGAGCACACCGTGGTAGCCCTCAAGAGGTCTAGCTGTGCGCATTGTGAACGCCTTACAATTAGGCAGCTCTGCTCGTGAATCACTCTTTTCTCGGCCAAAGGAAGTTGAGTTTCAGAGCCTTGGGGATCTGGGCCGAAAAACTGGCTTGCCCGTCTTTGACCTATGATATACCAGCTTGGTCATCTATGCCAAATACCCGTAAGGCCGACATAGCGGCTTTACAGTATAAATGTTAACCCTATAAGGCTGGTATACCGGCATTACTCTGCTATGATTCCTTGCTTATTTAATGATTATTTTTTGACCTGGAAGGTTGATAACGTCATGATGTCATGGCGTGATTACATCATTATGCCATCATTATGATGTAGATGATCAACATGAATGTTGTTGATAAACTTATGGTGCAATAGCAGAAGATAACTAAAAATGCCAAAGCGAAAAGCTAATTGTGTACCAGCTAAAGTTACACTTACAATCAACACAGGTACATCTAAAACAGTGGATAAAAGAAAACATACACAGTTACACAGGCGAGAGTGAGGATTCTAGATAGTGACAGCAGTGAAAGTTCAGGCGATGTTGAAACTGAAACTGATAGTGACAAATCCTTCCATTGAAAAGAAGAACAACCCCCACAAGGAATCAAAAACTGGATTTTTGACCAGTCTTCCATGCAATATTCTTTCAGTTACAAGATGTTTGAGGGTTTTCTTGCATGTATTGTCCGTTTCAAATCCCCCCACAGAATTTCAATGGGATTCAAATACAGGATTTGTCTAGGCTTTCCATAACCCTCCATTTCTTTCAACTTCAAATTCAACTTCAACTTTCAGACAGATTATCTTCAAGCACTCTTTGATATGATGCTGAATTAATAGCTGAATCAATGAATGCAAGCTTTCCAGTCCCTAAGGCAGTGAAGCAAACCCAAACCTAAACATTTCCACCACCTTGCTTCACAGTTGGTATGAGCTGCTTCTCCTGAAAAGCTGTTCCATGTAACAGGAATCCATCTGAGAGCCAAAATCATACTTTAGAGTTTACTCAGTTTCTTGATGACCAACCACATCAACACTAAAGGACACTGTATTGATTATACATGAATATATTAGGTTAACTGTCCAATTAAATGTCTATTTTTATTGTTTATCCTCTACGTCCATGAAAATCATCACACTGTTCAAGCAATAGTTAGGATAGAAATGTTTTCCACACACGTTCCAGTCAACCAAAAATTTCAGTTAATTAAATTATTTAAACACCGCAAGACATACGCACACAGCTGTCATTCAGAGACAAGTCCAGTCCATCATGTGTTATTTCAGGACTTTTCATTCTCCTTTGTGCAGACAGCCATGTAGCTGTCATACACAATTGGTGCTTTAAAAAATTAATATACATATATATATATATATATATATATATATATATATATATATATATATATATATATATATATATATATATATATATATATATATATTCTTTTTTCTAATTGAGCTAAAATGCTTGTTTGATAATACACATTCTCTTTTGTAAATTTTATGGACATTTTGACATTTGGGGTTTTTAATGTAAAGGTATCTACTGCTATCTACTGTGTATTTTTGGAGTTCATGAACTTCAACAGGGATTAAACCTGCTCCATATTTATACAAACAGAACATTTTGCTCATCGATGGATCTCAATAGGCCTCTCAGCTTGGAAGCAGAGGCACTCAAGCAGCAAGAGAGAGCCGCTCCAGTTAATATGGTGTGATGTGAATAGAGCAGACAGGAGAGAGAAGTAGGTCTTCCAGTCATGCATAATGCAACATGAATATGACTTTATCATAGCCCACTAATGGTGACATAACAATCTGTTAAAGCACTTCTCTCAGTCTTGGTACATATTTCATGTAAAGAGCAAATACATGCATACATATATCCTGAATCCTGAATATAAAGTTATAATTATGAGTATATACGTGTAAATCGTGAATATATATTTAGAAATTCTAAATACAGTAGTGCTTGAAAGTTTGTAAGAATGTTCTATATTTTTGCATAAATATGACCTAAAACATCATCAGACTTTCACACAAGTCCTAAAAGTAGAGAAAGAGAAAAATTAAGACAAATTAAATAAATAAATAAATAAATAACAAATTTTGAGGAAAATTATATTATATACCTGTGAGTGGCAAGTATGTGAACCTTTAGGATTAGCATTTAATTTGAAGGTGAAATTAGAATCTGGTGATTTCAGTCAATGGGATGACAATCAGGTGTGAGTTATATTTAAAGAAAAGTGATGTATCAAAGTCTGATCTTCACAACACATGTTTACGGAACTGTATCCTGGCATGAACAAAAGAGATTACTCAGGACCTCAGAGGTGTTAATGCTAATCAGGCTGTAAAAGGTTACAAAACCATCTCTAAAGAGTTTGGATTCCACGAATCAACAATAAGACATATTTTGAGCAAATGGGGGATATTCAAGACAAGTGTTAACCTCCCTAAGAGTGGTCAACCAAAAAAGATCACTTGAAGAGCAAGACATGTAATAGTCAATGAGGTCACAAAGGCATCCAGGGTACACCATCAGGAGAACACTGAACAACAATGGTGTGCATGGCAGGATTGCAAGAAGAAAGCCACTGCTCTCCAAAAATAACATTGCTGCCTGTCTGCATTTGCTAAAGCTCACATGAACAAATTATAAGGCTATTGGAAAAATGTTTTGTGAATGGATGAGACTAAAACAGAACTTTTTGGCTTAAATGAGAAGCATTATGTTTGGAGAAAGGAAAACACTGCATTCCAGCATAAGAACCTTATCCTATGTGTGAAACATGGTGGTGGTAGTAAGATGGTTTGGGCCTGTTTTGCTGCATCGGGACCAGGACAGCTTCAATGAATTCTGAAGTATACCAGTGAATTCTAAAGGAAAATGTCATGTCTTTTCATGAACTGAATCTCAAGAGAAAGTGGGACAGGCAGCAGGACAACAGCCCTAAGTACACAAGTTCAACCAAAGAAGGGTTAAAAAAGAATACAGTTAATGTTTTGGAATAGCCAAAGTCAAAGACCTGATCTAATTCCAAAAGAAATGTTTTGAAAGGACCTGAAGCAAGCAGGAAGCCTACCAACATCCTAGAGTTTAAGTCATTCTGTACTGAGGAATGGGCTAAAATTCTTCCAAGCTGATGTGCAGGACTGATCAACAGTTACCAGAAACGGTTAGTTGCAGTAACAAGGGAGTCACACCAAATACTGAAAGTACATGTTCACATATTTTTGCCACTCACAGATATGTAGTAATGTAATATATTATATTGTAATATGTAATATTGGATCGTCCTATACATCCTGTATACATTTATCAGTGCAAATATTGCACTATTATATTATTATTTTAATAATAATAATAATAATAATAATAATAATAATAATAATAATTATTATTATTATTATTATTATTATTATTATTATTATTATTATTATTATTATTATTATTATTATTATTATTATATACAGTGGGGGAAATAAGTATTGAATGCGTCAAACTTTTTTTAGGAAATAGATTTCCAATGAGGCTATTCATATGAAATGTTCACCAGACATCAGTATTAACTCAAGAAATCGGAAAATATAAAGAATTCACAACATTAAAGTCTATAAATGAAGTTATGTGTAATAAAGTGGAATGTCAAAGTGGAAAAAGCATCGAACACGCTAAGAAAAAGCAGTTCTCCAAGGCAAGGAACCAGTTGAAAGCCGTAAGTAATTATACCCCCTATCTGTGCAAATTAATATCAGCTGGGTTAGTCAATTGATGGTCTGTAAAAAGGATTTTCGTTACCAAGCTGTCACACAAAAAAATTCTCATAAAGGGTAAAAGCAAAGAGCTCTCCCGAGACCTTTGCGACCATATTTTTGCAAAACATATTGATGAAATCTGATACAGACGTATTTCAAAACTTCCAGTAAGCACCATTGGGGCCATTATCAGCAAGTGGAAGCAACATCACTTTGTCATCAACTGGCCACACAGAGGAGCTCCACACAAGATTCCTGACCAGAGAGTCAGAAGA